CCATCATGTTGAAGTGACCGAGTCCTCGGCCGACGTGGCGCATGCGGTCCTGGATGAAACGGGCGTGCCGGCCGCGACCCAGTCGGCGTCGTCGTCCATGGGACCCAGACGGACGGGCCCGTTCTTGAGGCCGTCGAGCTCCCAGACGGCGCCGTGGCGGGGGACGATGGCGATGAAGTGGAAGCCCGAGTCTGAGTCGACTTTGGTCTTCTTCTTGCGCCTGGGCGTCGCCGTCGCCGCGGGCTGCTCTTTCTCTTCTTGGGCGTCGTGGTGCGGCGGCGGCGGCCTTGGCGCGCTTCTTGGCGTTTTTCTGAAAGGCGCGGCGCTGTTGCTGAGACAGAGGTCGGCGTTGAGGTGGTCCATTTTGCGCGTGAGCGAGTTGTGGATCGTGCGGATGTGGGCGTTTTGGCTGAGGGCGTGGCCGCGCAGGGCGAAGCACATGTCCTTCGTCGCGTCGCGGAAGGCCTGCAGCTCGGGCCCCAGCACGACGTCGCTGTTCATGACTATGTTCATCATGGCGACTGTCGCGCAGGCATTGTCTGTTGTCTGCTGTCTGTCAGGAGGGCTCACAACATAAAGGTAGGAGGGAGGGGGAAATGCTACTTGATTGGCAAACCAGATACCGTCGTCTTGGCCCTGTTCGTCGTCGACCTCGCAGTCTTGGGCGAAATACTGGTAGAGGAAAATGAGGCCGTAGACGGGCTGGGGCAGGAGCTGCAGAGAATCCTCGTCGAGACTGAAAAGTTCCTGAATCTTGACATCTTTGACGCCGCAGTCGCGCAAAATGGCGTTGAAAAAAGCCTGCCAAGCTGTCAGTGACGCTGCACGATACTTGTGAAGGGGCATAAAATAAATAAATCAAGTACATACCGGCTCAGACTCGAGCTCGCACCAGCCGGTCCACTGGTGGATATCCTCCGTGGTGACGGGTGCTAGGGCCTCCTTGAGGGTATCCTCCGACGAACGGTACCGCGTCACGACGGCCTCGGTGGCTTTGCGCTTGGGGTTGCGCTTCGGCCCCTTGGTGTCGTCCATGATGGCGAGCTCGTCGGTTGCGTCGTAGTCAGTATCAGGAAGGAGTGCTCGCTTCCGTTTGCCCTTTGACTTGACGACAGACGAAACGGCGGGAGTCGACAAGGGCGTCACAGTTATGAGCTCATCGGGCTCGTCAGCGACGGTAGCCGGAGACTTTGTTGTAATCGGACCTTCGGAAACGTCAATAGCCGAGTCATCATGCGGATCAGCCATATCAGTTCGACCCAGGGCGCGCCGTGTAGGTTTGGTGACGAGGGACATGAGAGTTGGCGTGTGTGGGTAAGGGCAGGGAGATTGCAGTCGTGATGGGATGGTGAGTCTCTTGGGGTAAAGATGTAGTGACGGAAAGTGGGTTAAGATGAGGTATGAAGGCGAGGAGGAAGTGGTAGGTGCAAGTCATGCAAATAGGGTTTTGGCAGGTTCAGGACTTCAGGATGGAAGGATCCCATTACAATACGACGGACTTTTCCACATTGTGCCATTCGTCAATAGGATACATGAACGTGGGGAGTTGTTTGCAGCGGGCAGTGATCAGGCCGATAATGAGAGTGATGATACGAGAACCAGCCAAACGCGGCAAGAGCGAGCCTTCCACGTAGGGCTTGGCCATGTTCTTCAGGCAACTTGAAAGAACCTGTATACACACCTCCAGTTGCAGATTATCACATCGCTCCAGAGCAACATCCAGATACGAGGCTCGTCGACTGAGGGAGCGATCTGCCGGGATCCTTAAACAGAGAGAGCTGGTCAAGTGGATGTGCTGGGTCGTAGCATCAAAGAATCATTGCAGCATCCTAGTCGATGGTTTTCTGAGAAGGAGAATAAGGTAGGGCGAGTTGGCTGAAGCGCTCTGACGACGATAAGCAGGATACATATGATAGCAAGGGCATGCCTTTCTAATTACAGCGTCGCTGAGAAACCCCGTCGTCGCATTGACCCTGTGCGACGAGCTGGTGTTGCAGCAGATTCACACCGCACACCAGGCGCTGCATCCAATTTACCACGAGGCTGTCCAAAGTTGCCCTGTGTCAAAGCTCACTATCGATTATCTAATCCAAAAAACCAATCACGAACCGTCAACAAACCAAGCTGCCAGGAGCTGTGCCCCACGTACCAAAGAAAGTGTTGTTCCAGGACCCGTCGCGTCCAGAGACGTGAAGACATTCATTCACGCAGAGCCATCATTTTCCACTCGCCAGTCGGCCTTCTTGACCTTTCCCAAGGGCCACCACCCCAGCTCTCCCAACATTGGAGCGTCTCATTTATGGTCGGTCTTTGATCCCCCCTACACCACATCAGCAGGCTCCTCTGCCCGCTGCCCAACCTTTCGTCCTTTCTGCAATCCCAACCGGCATGCAGCCATGAGCGACACACCCAGACAGCGGACTGGTGGTTTCCCACAAACCCCAGGAACCGCAGCCCCGAGGCGAAGAGTGCCTCTCAGCCCTTCCGAATCACCTCCATCAGCGGCCTCGCGCACCTCACGGCCCTCCCGACTCTCCTCCACCCTGCCACTGGCGCCAGCGACAGCGCAAACGTCGACAGCCGTCGAGCCTCTGATACCTCTGACCTTCCTCGATGGCCCGCAGCAGCGATTCTACGCCGCCGCGGTGTACGTCATCCTGTGGGCGTGGAAGCTCTACGACTATGTCGGCTTGATAGAGGACAACGACATGTCCGTGTGGCTCTTTTTCAAATGGGTCTTGATTGACTTTGTCTTCCTCATGGGCCTCCCCGAGATGAGGATACCTTGGCTCGAGCTCTCCCAGACCACCGTCCTCAGCGTCTGGGCCTTCCACTCGATCACAAACTGGCTGCTCATGTTCAACATCGGCCTGCCCTGGCAGCCGTGGCTCATTGGCTTCCTCAAGATGTTCTATGACCGCGAGATCTCCGTCTCCGAGCACAGCGTCAAGGTCTCTTCCATCCTGCACAACCACTCGCTCATCATGGGCCGGCAGATCATCAACATTCTTCCCGAGGGGTAAGCCCTGCGTTGCCATGTCCCTTCTGTCGAGCGCCTATGCTAACCATGCCCCAGCTCCGCCGTGCTCAACTACGAGCAGATCCCCTTTTGCCTCGGCGAGGGCCGCGATACTGTGTCTGTGCCGTTGCAGTTCAACTCGACCATCCCCGCCGAAATCGAGCTCATCCGTATCGACTTGCAGACCGACGAAGAGGAGACGATCCGGATGACCAAGAAGGAGGTCAATAAGATCGCCAAGGGCATCAAGGACCTCATGGTCGACTCGAACCCCGTCTCCGTCGATATTCCGTTGAAGAAGCCTGGTATCTACCGCCTGGGCAAGGTGCTCGACAACTACAAGCTCGAGGTCAAGCGAGTCACCAAGGACACATACATCGTCCCGTGCCCCAAGGTCGAGTTCCGCAAGACAGAGGCGTCCGATCGCTGCAAGCGAGACTTGTCCGACCTCTTCATCGACGTCACCGGCACCCCGCCGCTGAAGATCCACTACAGCAGGACCATCAATGGCAAGGACCACAGCTTCCACTTCCAGAGCCTGCAGCCGGACGACTTTGCCTCGCCTCTCCTCGGCTCACAATCATCGGCGCTTGTGCTTCCCCAGAACGGCGACTCTGCCTGGGTCAAGCCCCAGGCTGTCGAGGTCCGACTGAACGAGACCCTCGACACGTCCGGCCAGTGGCAGTACGCTGTGACCGAGGTTCACGACGGTTTCGGCAACGTGCAGAAGTATGGCGATGGAGGCCCTGA